AATGTGACCTGTCTCAAAAATGGATGGAGCTAAAATTAAAAAGAAAAAAATACCAATTAATGTAGAAAATCCTGTGAATCAAAATAAATGTACAGATAAAATATTCCAGGGCTGGTTTCATTCACTTATTTTAATTTTTGTTATTCTTGTTAATATTGTTAATTGTGAATATCCCTCTTGACAATCCCAGTTTGTGAGAATCTTGCAAAATATTTTTTCTCCTTTTAAACTCAAAACAGATACCATCATATACCATTGGCATCAGGTAAAACTATATGTAAGGACCCTTCCTCATAAATCAGGAGGGGGAAAATCTATGCTTGAAATGCTGACTCATTTTTATTGTGACCCTACTCTTGTTCTCTGACCACTGAAAACGAAACCTGGTTTCCCTGCATTTCAATTTTAATTTTATACAAGACCACTAAAAGCCAATTGTGTTAAATACTAGGCTAAGAATGTATAGATGGAAAACATTTCAATACACCTGCAGCCAAAATGGTGTATGGTTCTATATCAGATCTTCAGAGTATTTTGAAGGTGATTGGAAATATAATTATTTTTCATGAATTATATACATTGTAAAAGAGAAGTTTCAACTGAATTAAATAACATTATACTATGTGGTGTAAAGGAAACAATACAATCGTGTTAAGAGAACCTGGAATCAGGACTGTAGAATATTATAAGCACATTACCTGCCAAAATGGTTGATTATGTAGCATCAGTTGACCCTCTATCTTTGTCCTGTGTTTGAATCCAGTTATATGCATAGCATGTAAAGCATGGGATATAGCAAAAACAGCATTGTGGACACTGTAGCTATGGCTAGACATGCTCATTTCAAAATAGGTGTAAGAGAGGTTCTCCAGTTGTTCATCTCCAGTGCAAGGAGGTTCCTCCATTTCATCCACAAGTGTACCTGGAAATACACAGGAAAAGACCTACTCCCAGATGTTTTTGAAAAAACCATCTCCTTTTGTAATGAAAGAGTTTCGACTCTCTATAAACTGCTGAAATTCAGATAGATCCCTGGAGTGAAACGTGAAAGCTAGAGATCCATGGAACATGTCTACTGTAAATCCCAATCTCTTTGAAATACAAAGGATGCAATCTCCATTTGGGCTGTGGCGATCCATAGTTTTCCTAAGGATTTCCTATACTTATTGTCTATATCTGCATCTGATTGATACGAAAGCAATCTAAAAAATCCAAAGGAATTAGATTCACCATAAACAAGTATCACTGTAGCCTTACTATGTGTTACTATATCATAAATCTTCTTCCCTTTATGAAATATTTCTGATATATTAGTAATAAAAGTTATAACAGGGATTTTTTGTATGAATGCAAAACAAATGCCCTTTTGAAAAAACATGGGCATCACTGTTTGTACAAATCTTTCTCCATTGTCAGTATCCATAACCACCACTCCAATCCATATCCATTTGTAGTGTAAAAGTAGAGACAGAATCCCTTCATATTGAAGGTCTTCCTTAAGAACCATTTGGTAGAAGGGAAGACCTGGAGTTTTATCCTTCATCACTGGAATGGGGCTATACGAGAGCTAAAGACATCCATGAAGATGAAAAAAAAACAATTACAATCGACCTATATCACATCCCTCATTAAGTTGCATTGTTATTATTGGTGCATAAAGATTATAGTTTTCAGTAACAATAAAGGAGAATATTTGTAGCTCAGGGTTGAAATGTGGGGTCATTGGTGCTCTTTGAGCTTGCTTATTTTCTTGCAGATGTTTCATTACCCTAATTAGGTAACATCATCATTGCTGGTAAAGAGTGGGGTTTGCTCTCAGTTTATATTTTAGTGTCTGGCCCTGTCACTGTTGGTGGGAGGTGGTCTTAGGGATTCTTTGGTTGCGCTGTTTGCTGTTGGCTCCTTTGGCAGTTTCTTTATTGGGGTATTGTTTACTTGATTGTTGATCTGATGTTAATGTTGAAATTAACCTATGTTGATCTTGGTGCTGATTGCTGGTGGATCTTTTGGGTCTTTTTGTTCCCTTTTTGGCTGGTTGATTGTCTCTTTTGCATAGTCTATAGATATTGTTAATGTCTGTTTGTCTATTGATGGGTAATTTGTCAAAGTGCCAGGTTTGTAGAAATTAGCTAGCATTTTTGGACTTGGTTTGGTCTAGGATGGTCACATTTTCCCAATTGAAACTATGGTTAAATCTGTTTATATGTTGTGAAATTAAAGAGTTTTCATCATGTCTTATCATGGCCAGTTGGTGTTATAGGGCAGTGGTGGCGAACCTATGGCACGGGTGCAAGAGGCAGCACTGAGAGCCCTCTCTGTGGGCACGCATGCCGTCGCCCCAGTCCTAGGCCTTCAGCTGGGTTTTATAAAACCTTTTCGCTTTAGGCCTCCGCCGCCGTGTGCAAAAAAAAAAAAAAAAGGTTCAATCAATCAGTCAATTTCAACTTCTCGTGGAGAAAAAAAAGATCTTGCAAAGTTGGAATTGATTGATTGAACTTTT